GACCTCTCGTCAGCACTCGTGCGGGGGGAAAAAAAAAAATTAAAAAAAAAAAAAGGAAGAGCGAGGCACTTTGTTTCCACGGTTTGAATAATCAGAGGGGTTGGTTCGAAAGGGTTTTTCCCACCTTCCGCGGTCGCTCTCCGTCCGTAGCCGAGGAGCGCTGCCGCAGTCCCCTCTTTTGCTCTTTAGGTCCACCAGTACTACAGCTGCCTCCCCGAAGACAAGGTCCCCTACGTGAACAGCCCCGGAGAAAAATTGCGCATTAAGCAGCTTTTGCACCAGCTGCCCCCGCACGACAATGAGGTTAGTAGCGTCGAAGGGTTTGGCCGTGGGGCCGAGGGAGGGGGTGCACCTCCTCGTCGGCTCTCTGTGGGTCCTTTCTGCCCTCCTCTCTGCTCCGCGGGGGGCTCTTACTTGCTGTTTGCTCACGTTGCTATTTAAACGGTTGTATTTTCTACCCATTTGGACTGTTTTGGGGGTGGGGAGGGATTGTTCTTAAAGCTAAGTTGCAGCTTTCGTTCTTAAAATGATCTGTCTTTGCTTCTCTGGGGAGGGAGGGAACAACTTTCTCAGCCCTCGGAGGCCAAAGCTGTCTTAAAAGTGACTTGAGGTGCTGTCGAAATCAGCTAGAGCCCACTCTGAAGGGAACTGCAGAAGCCTTTCCCGAGCGCTGCTTTCACCGCGCCTCGGGGTTGCAAGCGCATAGGGCAGAGGAGGTGTTTTCCTTCAAGTGTGAGTTAGGAGCTGCGAGAGCCTGAAAAGTCCGAGTTTGAGTCAAAACCAGCCGGAGCAAGCAGAAGCGTTATTACGTCTTGCGAGAAAAGATGTGAGGCAGCCAAAAAAAAGGGTCCGGCCTTTGCCATCCTTTTCTTTGCCGGTGTGAATGTTGGAGCCCACAGAATTTCCCTGCGTAAACAAGCAATGATTTTCACGCTCCTTCTTGAAGAAGCAGCTCTGGAAAATACGTGCAGGTAACTCGTTTTATCTAGGTCAGGTTGCAGTGGGCTGGCCCGCGCGTGGCGCGGTGCCATGGGAGCACCACGTGGGGCTGTCGGCGCCCAGGGGAGCTCCAGGTGCCTTGGAAGGGGGTGAAAACCTGCAGCGTCTGACAGCTGAAAAGAGCAGGAAAAATACATACAAAAGCTTTTAGTGCCGTCCTTGCTCTCGCAAGCTGGAGGCACAGTCCTGCGCTTTTTTCTGCAAACAAGCAAGAGATTTTGCATGCGGTTCGCACTCGATTTTGCCTCTTTGGAAATTCAAGCTGTGTTTATTACTCACATGAGTAGTCCAGCTCATTTCCATGAGCCTGGTCTCTGAAATAATCGTGGCAGGACTGGGCACTGTTGCTGAACGTGGCCTGCCTTGGCTGCTCAGTCATATTCTCAGCTGAAATCTGATCAGCCAAAAGACTAAATCTGCACGATGAAAATATCCAGGGAAACGTCATAGTTTTATAAGTTTGGGGAAATTGCAACATTCGTTGTTTATATCCTTTTATTTTCCTTTTTTCCTTGTTACCTCCCAATGTAGAGATTTTGCAAACGTGCAAACTTTACCCTATGGCAATAATTGGAACTCCCTCATTTGCATAGGAAGCAGGGGCTGCACCCTAGAAGTACTAAAAATATATATATATATATAGAAGCTGCTGTTAAACTTCTTCTGGAGACTGGTGGAGAAAGCAGAAAAATAGTCAGCCTGATTCCTGGGTCTGGGTCATGCATGGACACTGAGGTCTCAACTTTCAAGATATCTGCAAGTTTTCCTAGAAACCCAGCACCCAGAGAGCAGCCTTCCTCCTTCCCTCCCCTTGCTGCCTAATCTGTACCTCTCCAAATTTTGACAGAAGTCAACACAACTCTGTTTTGTCTAGCCTCACCTAAGCTGAAGACTGAGTTCATTTGTGTAACCCACTGTGCACACATCAGCCTCCCTTTCAATGCAACAGCAGTTATTTGTTAGGAGGAGGATGCTAGGCCTGATCACACAGTGATTTTCAGTTG